AAATTTCAAATGCCATTGTTTCGGAGCTTGTTTCAGTCCGTACAAGGATTTGATCAAACTACACACCTTTCTCTCTTGTCCAGGTGTAACAAACCCTTCAGGTTGTTCCATGTATATTTCTTCTTCCAATTCACCATTCAAAAATGCCGTTTTGACATCCATTTGGTGAATCTCAAGATTGTGCACAACAACAATCGAGAGAAGCACTCTTATCGACGCTAAACGCGTAACTGGTGAATAAGTATCAAAGAAATCATACCCTTCCTTTTGTTTAAAGCCTTTGACCACCAATCGTGCTTTAAACTTGTCAATCGATCCATCAGCTTTATATTTTTTTCTTTAGGATCCACTTACATCCTAAAGGTTTACAACCATCAGGGAGAACAACCAACTCCTACGTATGATTTTGCATAATGGACTCGATTTTGCTATTTACAGCTTCTTCCCAGAGTGGTCCATCTGGGCTGGACAGAGCTTCCTTAAGGGAACTCGGTTCATCGTCCAACATGTACGTAATAAAATCAGGTCCAAACGTTTTAGCCGTTTTTACCCTTTTACTACGTCTCAGTTCTTCATTAGTACCCTCTGGTATAGAACCATTAGCAGTTTCATACGTTCTTTTATTAGAACTAGATTCTGCCCTTTCCTTCATAGGAAAAACATTCTCAAAGAATATAGCATTCCTTGACTCAATCGTGGTACCAACAGATACCTCTCGATTTTCTGATTTATGAACCAGAAATCTATATGTTGTACTATTATACGCATATCTAATAAATACACAATCGACCGTCTTTGGCCCGATTCTCATTTGTTTTGGTTCAGGTACTGAAACCTTAGCCAAACACCCCCACACTTTCAGGTACTTATAAGACGGCTTACGATTTTTCCACATTTCGTAAGGAGTCTCATTTTTCCCTTTAGGTGGTATTTTATTCAGGATATGATTTGCTGTCAAAACAGCTTCCCCCCACATGTTCTGTGGTAATCCTGAATTAATCAACATGGCATTCATCATTTCTTTTAAAGTTCGGTTTTTACGTTCTGTAACACCGTTCGACTGTGGAGAATAGGGGGCTGTTGTTTGATGAATTATGCCATATTCAGAGCATATTTGTTCAAAAGGAGATACATACTCCCCATCCCTATCACTTCGGATTATTTTAATCTTTTTGCCGAGTTGATTTTCAACTTCGGTCTTATATATTTTAAACGCTTCCACAGCCTCATCTTTGCTTCTTAACAATTATAAGTAGCAAAACCTTGTGCAATCATCGATAAAAGTTACAAAATACTTTTTACCGATTCTTGTTTGCACACTTTTCATATCGCATACATCAGTATGGATTAAGCCTAATGGTTCAGTACTTCTTTCCACCGAGTGAAAAGGCAACTTAGCCATTTTTGCTTCAATACAAATTTCACATTTTGTATTTTTATCAACTTTAGAATTAGGAATTAATTCTAATTTCATCAACCGTTTTATCGCATTTAGATTTACATGTCCCAATCTAATATGCCATACATCAGAGCACTCAACGGTATAAACAGAATTAGGCATTTTATTATCAATGGTTACATGGCTTACGGCCAATACATTCATTTTGAACAATCCCTTGTCGATATAACCACGACCAAGGAATATTCCGTTCTTGCTAAGAATAAAGTTTTTAGCTTCAAACACCAGCCTAAATCCATGATCAACAAGAAGTGATCCGGAGACCAAATTCTTGCGGATGTCTGGGACATGCAGAACATCCTTCAGCTTCAACTCATTTCCAGAAGTGAGCTTCAGCACCACAGTGCCCACTCCAACCACATCAGACGTGGA